AAAAAAAAAAAAAAAAAAAAAAAAAAAAAAAAAAAAAAAAGAGCAAACAAAATAAAAGCAAAGCAAAACAAAGCAAGAAAAAAAGAAAGAAAGAAAAGTTTTTACTGCATTTCAGCCAAGGCCAATTATTATTCCTATACAAGTAACAAATACAAAAATTACTATTCTCTTTTTAGAGCAAGTTAATAAAAATCATGTATGTATCTGTATAATTAAGACTCGTCAATCTGCTGCTGAGTTTGGTGGCTCTTGCCAGTAGTCCAAGCCCTTAGGAGGTCCTGGTGGTTTGAATGAGAATGGTTCTCATAGGCTCATATGAAATTTGAATGCTAGGGCTCTAGGTGGTGAACTATTCTGGGAAGGATTAGGAGGTTTGGTGTAAATGGAGACTGCTCGTTCATTTCCCAACTGCTCAGACCCAAATAATCACACAGAAACTATATTAATTCAACTACTTGGCCAATAACTTAGGGATCTTTCTAAATAGCTAAATTAACCCATTTCTATTATTCTGTGTATCGCCACAAGACTGTGTCATACTAACTAAGGTTCCAGTGTCTGTCTCCTTCTGCAGCTACATGGCATCTCTTTGACTCTACCTACTCTTTCTCTCTATCTCTGTTTTGATTTCCTGCCTGACTTTACTCTGCTAAGCCACTGGCCCAAACAATTTTATTCATCAAACAATAAAAGCAACACATATACAGGACATCCCACATCAGTCTGGCCTTGTCAGATGAGGTATGTCACTGAGGGTGGGCTTTGAGGTTTCAAAAGTCTACCCAGGCTTCTCTTACTCTGCCTCCAATTTATGGATAAAATGGAAGCTCTCAGCTACTGCTTCATAGATATGCCTGTCTGCCGCCATGCTTCCTACCATGATGATAATGAAGTAATCAACCCTCTGAAACAGTAAGCAAATCCCCAATTAAATGCTTTTTTTTTTTTGTAAGTTGCCTTATTCTCTACACAGCAGAAGAAAATAACTAAGACAGAGGTGGAGAAAAAAAATTAGGAGTTTAAGATCATCCTCAGCTACCCAGCAAGTTCCAGGCCAGGCAGAACACATGAGACTGCCTTAATGTCCCTCCAACCCCCACAAATAAAGAAAATGTTAGCTAGGAAGTGGTGGTGCATGCCTTTAACCCCCAGCACTCGGAAGGCAGAGGCAGGCAGGTTTCTGTGAGTGTGAGGCTAGCCTGGTCTACAGAGTGAGTTCCAGGACAGCCAAAGCTACACAGAGAAACCCTGTCTAGAAAAACCAAAACAAAACAAGGTGCTTAATCTGAAAAACAATATCATATAATGTAAGAAGTAAAGAAGTTGATGTTTCTCAAATGTTATTTTCCAATATCCCATCACCACTGCATGTAAAAGGAAGTTAAAACATCCCCTTACACAAATATACATACTACATAACCATACCTGCTCTGTTTGAAGTTGCTCTCGAAGCACCCTGACTAGTTCTTGGTTTTCTGGATGAATGTTCTGCTGTACATTTCTGTTAGAGAGAATGGAGTGAATTTTGAAAAATCTATCAATATTAACCCATCTGCATTATTAGACTAATTTTTGACCGCAAGCTGATGAGATAGCTCGGTTGGATGCAGGCACTTGCTGTGTGACCCTAATGATCCGAGTTGGATCTCCAGAACCCATGTCAAGGGGAAAGAAGAGAACTAGCTCTACACAGTTGTCCTCCAGCCCCATTAATAATAATTAACAATTCAGAACTCATTTATTTGGTGTGCATCTACGTGTATGTGTATGGGTATGTGTGCTCTAGTACACATGGGCAGGCCAGAGTATAACTTAAAGGAGTTGCTTCTCTTTTACTGTGTGCGTTCTGGAACTGAACTCAAGTCACCCGACATGGCAATTGTATTTGCTCATTGATCCTAGCCCAATAAATAAATTTTTTTAACTTTAGAAAAAAAAACTACATGGGGGTTGGAAAGATGGTTCAGTGGTTAAGAGCACTGGTTTCTCTTCCAGAGGTCCTGAGTTCAGTTCTCAGCAATCACATGGTGGCTCACAAACATCTATAATGGATCTGATGCTCTCTTCTGGCATACAGATTGAGCACTCATATACATAAAATACACAAATAATTTTTCTTAAAAATTAAAAAAAAAAACTACCGGTAACTTAATGTAACAAGTGTAACTGACGTTGGAAACTGCACTCCAATCCCAGGATTGTGCATTCTACGTTACTCTGTAATGACTTCCTCACAAATCTAATATCATTGCTGGTATCAGGTTTAAATGGTAAATGATAAAATCCAGATGCCCGGTATCTTGGGAATTTATTACAACCTAATAATTAATGTATAGAACAATTAACAGATTTCTTTTGTGAAGTTTCTTTAAAATAAGCAGTTAGATAGTTTTAGTTTTACATATTATACATGTAAATACTTTTTCACATCTAACTAGGTCTTTCTCCTAATTTTTCATGTTTAAGGAGAAGGGAAGGCTGCAGAAATTAAAATTATATAATGCAAAATGCCAAATCTAACTGTGCTGGTTGGTTTTTTGTTAACTTGACATAAACCTAGATATATCTGGGAAGAGAGAACCTTAATTAACTGAGAAAATAAATGATTGACATTCAACTCACTGAAGGTTGAGTCACCCCTGGGCAGGTGGTCCCCAGGTGGTAAAGAAAATCAGTTAAGCAAGCCATGAGGAGCAAGCCAGTAAGCAGTGTTCCTCCGTGGTCTCCGCTTTAATTCCTGCCATTCCTACCCTGATTTCTCTCAGTAATGGAGTGTGACCTGAGAGCTCCAAAAAGAGACCCTTTCTTCCCCTCCCTGCTTTTGGTCATAGTCTTTATCACAGCAACTTTCTTGGTAATGATCTTTATCACTGCAAACTAAGGAATGAGCATACCACTAACATGGTAACAAGTACAATGGAAAATCAGAAGCAAGAAGTCAGCAGCTAATGTAATAGAATGGGGTTAGGCCAGGAGAGCACTGGCATCAGTAATGAGGCTGTTTTGTTTTGTTTTGTCTTGTTTTGGTTCACTTTTTCTGACTAACTATTTTGCATGAATTATCTGTACCACCAACTAGCTGGTGGATTCAATTATAAAATTTTTTAAACTAGAATACTCTCATAGGAAATACTGATTTTTTAAATCAAAATGTAAACTATGAATTTAAATAACCCAGGTAAATCAGTAAAAAGTACTTATTCAAAGCTTAATAAAAGTAGCATTCAAAGCTTAATAGCAAATAAAATGCTTTAGTACCAATACGGAGTCACTGAAACCAGCAATTCTAGGCAGACTTAAAGAGTCACTGACCTCTAGAAAGACACAGGACCTTTAATCTCACCTGAAAAGAGCATATAGGAGAGTAGCCACCAAAGCAACGCTGACCACCACAGCCACAAGCACTTGATCGCTCACTCCCTCTATAACCGAGTCGTCCTGTCGCAGACTGGCGACTTCACTGTAGTGTTTGGCCATTACAGGTCTAAAATAAGAAGACAGAAGTGAAAATGAAATATATCAATAAAAGCAATATAAGTATGGCTTACTCCTAATATATCTAATACTTACAGCATGCTCTTTAACATAGGTACCATTAAGTACAGCTCCAGTTAAGGTTCCCCTACTAATGACTTTTTTTTTCAATTTTCCAGAGTCATTATTTGGGGAAGAAAATGCTATTTTCTCTAAGGAAACTATTTTTTAAATCACCCATATACATATTTTTTAAAGTAAAAGTTTTTAAAAATACTTTTCCTGGAGGGCTAGAGAAGTAGCTCAGTTGGTAGAATAGCTGCCTCTCACACACAAAGTTCTGGATTTGATCTCCAGGTCTTTATAAAATGGAGTGCAGTACTGCACGGAGGCCAAGGCAGGAGGATCACTTTGGGTTCAAAGACAGTTTTGCATTACATGATGAATTCCAAGCCAGCCTGGGCTACAAGGTAAAACCCCAGTCTCAAAGGCAGAAAAAAAAATTGAAACAAAACCAAAAAGTAAATTAAAACATTTTCTCAGTTTAGGCTTAGTTACTTTAAGGAAAAGATATTCTCCTACCCTAGTTGCTTTCCTCTAACTCCTGAATATCAAATAAAGTCTCTAAGTAGACGTCATCCCTCTGTCGTAGCACCTGAAGAGGAAACACAGTCCTCCACAGCTTATTACCCAGCACATGCTCTGCACACAGAACTTAGTAAAGGGACTTACCAAGTGTACACGCACTAAAGAGGGAGGACTGAAAACTCCTCCCAAAATTCTACAGAAAACAATAGCACCCGACACTACAAGTATGATAGGAGACAACCCAACTACACTATGGGTCAACTGCAGGTACCTCTCCCCAACACCCCAGTGAACAAAACTGTAATGCTCAAAGTCTTATGTGATAACTAAAGGGAAATGATGGGAGTATTCACTAAATAAAGTTCTGTACTGTGAACAATACTGCACTGAAAAGTTTTAAACAAGACTAAGGATGGAGTGCTTGCCTACCGTCCATAAACCCGGCTTCAGTCCCTACCACAAAATGAACTTGCCCTCACCCGGGGAGAAGCACATTTGAAATACTGTAAGGACAGGTCAGCGAGCCAGTTAAGACCTTTTCTTTAGTAGGTATTCTCATTTTTAAGTTAGAAATGCTACAGCTGTGATTTAAAGTCCTGAGGACAGGGCTGGGAATGCAGGTTGGTAGAGTGCTTGCTGTACACACATAAAGCTCTGGGCTCCATTACTAGCACCTTGTAAACATGCTGGGGAGGGACAGACAAGAGGCGCAGGAGTTCAAGGCTCTCCTCCTCTACATGAGCACTGTCTCAGAATGTATTTGTAGGTCAGGTGTGATGGCACAGCCTTTAATCCCAGCACTCGGGAGGTAGAGGCAGGTGGATCTCTGTGATTTGGGGGCCAGCTGGGTCTAAATAGCGAGTGCCAGGACAGCCATGGTTGTGCAGAGAAACCCTGTTTAAGAACGAACAATCAGAGAAAGCAGAGCTTGGCAAGCCAAGCACATCGGCTGAGGCATCACAGCTGTCACCAGTATTCATATTTCTCCCATGCTATTCTTCAGCAGTGCATCTGAGAAAACTGGATAACTGAAGCCGTTGTGGGGACCCACAAACAGCACCATCTGTCAGGGACCACCCACCCAGCACAGACTAATAAGTGGCTTATTCCTGGAAGAAGAGAGGGAGACATACTATTAGTGTATTGGAATAAAGTTAAAATGTAAGGGCACAAGGGCATATTAAAATCATACCAGGGAAACCAGAAACAAGGACTTAGCCAACATGGCAGACCATGGAAAGTGTAACTCTCTCACCTGGACCCAATAAAAGTAACAGACTCCTTAGTTAGGGTTTCTATTGCCGAGACAAAAAAAAAACATGACCAAAAAGCAATTTGGGCAGTTAAGGGTTTATTTGACTTACACTTCAGCATTGCTGTTCATCACTAAAGGAAGTCAGGAACTCAAACAGGGCAGAATCCCAGACGGAGGAGCTGATACAGAGGCCATGAAGGGAAAGCTGCTTTCTCCATGGCTTGCTCAGTCCACCCTTTTACAGCACACAGGACCAGCAGCCCAGAGATACCACCACCCATAATGGGCTGGGCCCTCCCACATTGAATACTAATAGAGAAAATGCTTTACAGCTGGATCTCATCGGGACATTTCCTCAACTGAGGCTCCTTTTTCTGATGATTCTACCTTGTGCAAAGTTGATACACAAAAGCCATCAGTACAACACTGACTGGGATGTACAGTACAACCAAGCTGGGATGACACAGCCCCAACCACCTGTGGTCTGACACTTGACGTACGCATCAAAGACCAGCAAGCAGAGGACTCCCTAATTGTCCCTGGGGTTTCAGCCTGGCTTGGTCCTGTTATCAGCACAGCCTATTCAACTGCTGAGCCTGCTCACCCACCTGACCTTCAGTTTGGCTTTTTACCTTGTGGCTGGACGGACTCTGGCTTCACTCTCAAAGCCTGACTCCAGCAGCTCCTTCCTGGCACTGGTCTGGTTCATTACCTATCAGTGCAATTTCTCTCAGCCCTGAAATCTTTTGAACTCTGCTGTAGCCTCTTTAACTGTAAAACATATATATACACATATAGATACAGTTACTTGCGCCCTGTGGTATGTGATATAAGAGTTAATGTTACTAATTAAGACTGGAATAAAAGGACTATTGCCTCAGTCATATTACCAAGGCACGTGGGATTATATGACAAACTGATGTCACTGACCCTTGTGTATTTAATGCTATTCCATAGTCGAATTCTGAAAAGTCACAAACATGTTCATCTGTTTCTGACACGTGTGCTCACAGCCAAATCCAAACTTTGTCATATGGAACAACACCACCTTCTGCTGAGTTCATGGACTGCTGTGGTTCAGTACGAGCCTCCACCTGATGAAGGCCTAGAAAGACCGCTCAGAAAAGTCCCCAACACATCTATCTTGGGTCATTTCCCAATGCTGTCAGGGAAAGGGGTAGGGGAGATACGTCAACAGAGGAACAAACAAACAAACAAACAACAAAAGAGTCAGGAAAAGAAATTCTAGAATTTCTCATAACAAAGTAAATTTGATCATTCCCCAGCCCCCAAGTTCATGTAGCAACTTGATGATCATGTGGCTTCTCCAATGACTCTCAAGGAGCTTTTAATGTAATTTCTGTCCTGAAAAGTAATTAGAAGCACAAAATACACCAGGAATGATACATCAGGCATAAAAACACCTTGGACTCAGAAGGCTTGAAAAGACATACTTTAAATCAATTGTATCAAAGTTCTGACAGCCGAGCAGCTGGAGTAGAGGTGGCTACCATTAGGCTACCAAGGTCCCTTCAGCAAGGCTGTGGCCTCCGAGCCAGGGACAATGCCAAGTCAACCCAACATGTACTTACTATTCACTTACCCAACAAGATGTAGTCACTGAAAGGTGACACAGGTTTCTACAGAAACAGTTTAGTACGGAATGCAGGAACTCTAGTCTGACAAAGATCCAGGGGCACCCACACAGAAGTCACAAGCAGAGGAGATTCAAAGGTAGGATTGCTAAAGGTATTTCTGCACCTGTAAGAAGAATGTTTGCAAGAAGAACCTTTGAGACGAAGAATGTTTGCAAGAAGAACCTTTGAGACGGCTTCGGCTAAGATTTACTGTTTATTTTTGGTACCAGGGATTGAACCGGAACACCGATGTTTGCTAGGGTAATGAACTAGCACAGCATCCTCAGTCCACCATTTTTCCCATCTATAAAATGATCGATTACATGTGATCATTAAGCGACAGTGGATAAAAGTATCATTAAAAAACTCAATGCTGCTTGGAAGGGTCTAAGTGCTCAGGGAGAAAACCAACGTCTAATGGGAAAGGGGAACTGCAAAACAAAGCGAAAGTGTGTCCGGGGAAGTTAACTTCTGAAGCATTCCAAATCGAAATTGACATGACCCGGTAGGCGTACCTTTTGAATCCACAATTCTCCTAGGACTCCAAAGCATCTATCTTGTTTCTTGGTGTCTTGAAAACGCCAACACCTTTGCATTAAGATCCAGGTAGAAGAATGTTTATCACAGCATTGTTCTGAGACACCCTACACTGGAACAAAGTGCACATCAACAGCAGAATGGATATAAGGCTGTATCCACACAATGGAATCTTAGACAATCAAGGGAATTTGCAGATAATACAATAGTATTTAAAGGCCAAAACTCACAATATGGGTCCATTCATAAAAGTTCAAACTCAAAGGAAAACTACACTATATGCACACTCATTCGGTAAACCTAAAGGGGAAAGCAATACAGTGGCTGTCACAAAAATCAGGCTAGAGATGGCATGGGCGGAGGAACTCTTGAGAACCTGGCAATTCATTTTATTAAGATCCCGCAAACATGTACGTCCTACGCATTGTTCTGCACACGACCTAAAAACGTATATGAAACCCTACAATGCCTGCCCAAAAAACGAAAGCCGGACAAGGATGCACCTCAATGGAGTCAATTCCCAACACGACAAGGAAACAGGCCTTAGGAACAGTCGGGATCCTTACGCACTGGTGAACTGGCGTCCACCCTCTCTCACTTCAAGTAAAGTTTTTGGGGGAGAGGGGGCTCCGGGGAGGAACCGCCGGCTCTCTTCAGCCCGACCAAACCCGCCCCCAGCCACCGAGACGCGCCCACGTCAGCGGCTCCACCTTCGCCCTGCTACTCGGGGCCGGTTCGGGCGATTCAGGGCTGAGCGCAGGCTTCCGGGAGAAGGCGGAGCGCGGAGCCCACCCTCGCGCCCAGGCGCGCGGCCCCGCAGCCCCACCGCGCCGAG